CCGAGTCTGGAGCCGAAGCCTGCAGCTGGCCAGCTGGCCGAATCGGGGAGGGGCGCCGGGGGCCCCTCAAGGTGGCCCCCGGAGGGTGTTCTCAGCCAGAATCCAGAGACAGGACGCTCTTCCTGAAGCAGAAGAGGACGTCAGGACCAACAGGACGGCACCTGCTAGAGGCCGAGAGAGACTCAATGAGGATGAACCGACAGCCGGGCAAGACCCATGGAAGCTGCTGAAGGAGCAGGAGGAGAGGAAGAAGTGTGTCATCTGCCAGGACCAGAGCAAGACCGTGCTGCTTCTGCCCTGCCGGCACCTGTGCCTGTGCCAGGCCTGCACCGAGATCCTCATGCGCCACCCCGTCTACCACCGCAACTGCCCGCTCTGCCGCCGCGGCATTCTGCAGACCCTCAATGTCTACCTCTGATGACTCCCTCCCCGCCCGCCCACCCTCCGCGCTCCACTCGCTGGGACAGCATCAGCCTTCTGCCTCTGGGTCTTGGCCTGAGTCTTCTTTCCCTCAACAAGTCGCGACTCCGTCAAGCCTCAAGCCATATATCCAGGACTTGTAGCTGGAACACTCTGGAAGACTCCAGCCTGGGTGGGACAGGGTAACAGTTTCTCTGCACCCTGTGTGGGGCCCTGTGGTGTTGAGGGTGGTGAGTCTGTCACTATGCAAGGGCCCTGAGACTATGGCGGGCTTTTCCCCAGTCTGCCCAGGGCCCACCCAGATGCCAGCCTCTTGGGCTAGCCTTTGCTTCTGGCTTTTCTGTTGGGGTTTTTGGTCCCCCCCCCCCAGGCCACACCACAGTATTGTCATGTGAGGGTTTCGGCGACTCATGGGCCTTGGAGTGATCTTAATTTTTCTATTTTTGTTTTTTCTTGTTTTGGGATGATCTTGACTCTTTATGTTCAGCCAGAGCCTCTGCCCTGGCGGGTCTGGGAGTAGAATCCCGTAGGTGCCCTTAGAGCCACTTCTGCCTGTTACCGTCTTTTAAAGACTCCCAACTTGACCCAGAACCTGGGGTGAGTAGTTTATCCCTGGGTACAGGGGTGCAGCTAAACCTGGCTTTGGGACCATTTACTCTGAGGCACTCAGTTCCAGGAGGAGCCTCAGAAGGAAGACCCAAATTTCTGCTCATTCCCCTCCCACCTCACATGGCACTGCACATGGCATTCCTCCTGGTCTCTCTGGCATCGGGGAGGGCATTCTGCACATTTCCCTAGGGTTCAAACAAGGGGCTAGGCCTCGGGGCATGCAGCCCCTGTTGGGTCTGCCTGACCAGTTTCTATGAATAAAGCTGCGTTGATAGCTCTAACAGTTTGGTCCTTGCAAGGGCCAGCGGGTGTTCAACCAGTGTTGCCTGGGGGCTTTCAACTGGCTAGAGTAATTGAGCACCTGCATTGCCTAGCTTGGGGGTGTGGACGAGGAGATGGGTGGCAGGGCTGTGTCCCCAGGAAAGCTTGCTGCTCACCCCTTCTGATCTGACCTACCGCACTCATTTCTGGACCAGGCTTCTCTGTACTGCATTAAGTCCTTGTGAGCGGAACGTGAACTCGTTGCCCCTTCCCTGAGTTCCCAGTTGTGCCACTCTTCCTGGGAGGGCACAGTGGAGCCTGCTGCCTGGAGGCCAGTTCCTGGAGGAGCTGGCGCTTCTATTTCTTGTATGTTTTGTTTTTCAGGACAGGGTTCTTCTGTGTAGCCCTGGCTTTCCTGGAACTCACCATGTAGACCAGGTTGGTCTTGAACTCAGAGATCCACCTGCTTTTGACTCCTAAGTGATGGGCTTAAAGGCATGCGCCACCGTGCCCAGTGTGGTGCTTGTCTTTTTTGTGTCTTGGTACAGGGCCTGGTACTGTGATGGGCTGGAGTAAGGGACTTTTTGCTAGAGTGTGAGCTGGAGCCTAGAGATCAGCAGGTCTGCCTGGAAGACACAGGAAACCTAGAGCCTTTGATTCAGCGCCCTCTCATGGCCGCAGGGAATTAGGGGCAGCACAGTCTTCTGGAAGAGGGGTAGATGCTGGGTCCCAAAGGAGGTCCCTCCACTCTCCATGGAGAGGTTGAACAACTGTGATTAGCAACCCGGGATGTTTGTTAGTCATAGCCTGAGCCCTCAGGGGTTCTGTAGCCAGCCTCAGACTTAATGGCTTGGCCCACCCAGGCTGTGCCCAGCACAGTGGAGACAGTTCTCCACTGCCCCTGAATTCAGAGGCCTGTGGCAGGGCCTGCAACACACCCCTCCCCACCCGCCCCCTGCTGAGCAAGGAGAAGCCTGGCTCCTTCCCGTCTCTGTTTAATGTGGAGGATAAACATTTTATTAGGGAAGATAAACTTCCTGAGCTGGGGGTCAGGGACCTCCTTTCCTACCACCCCCATCTGAAATTCTTTCTGCAGGTCTTAATACCCTTTCCCCAACCACCTTAGAAGCCCAGACCTTAAATCATTGTTCTAGTCTGGAGCGTGGTCGCCCCCTTGTGGTCATTCCAGAAACTACTTATGTCTGGGTGGGGTGACAGCATCGGCTCTACAGTTAACTAAGAAAGCGAGTTATCCTTACCGTTATCTGGCTCACAGTGAGGGCAGTCAAATTGAAAGCTCCCGATCCTTTTTCAGACCAGACAGTGGCTGCTCCCGCTTGGTTTGGCATGTCTGAATTAGAGAAATGTGTTCCTTTTTCTGGGTGGCCAGAGCCCCAAACCAGGAGGGCAATCTTCTGGTCAGGCAATCCCTTTCGCCTCCACATAGCTAGGTGGCATCTCCGCGAGCCGACTGACTAATCTAGGTCTGCCTGCTGTTAGCTCTGCCTCGTGGCTCCATTCCACCCAGGAACCCTCCCTGCTGTGGATCCTCAGAAAAAAAGGCAGAAGCCAGTGGGAGGTTTTTGAGGTTTATTGAGTGAGCTCTGAGAAAAAGGCTGGCCCTAGGAGCAGGAGAGATGGAGTCAGGGACCTAGAGGGGACACAGGACTAGGAAGGAGCATCCCACCTTGGAATCCTGGGCCAGGACAACCAGGAACCCACAGTTGCCAGCACAGCACACTCCTGGGCAGAAACCCAGCCGCTGTTCCACGCTGCCTGCCTTGACCTCAGACAGCCTGTCTCCATTCCTTGCCAGCCGTGGGACAGGAGGTGGCTCCCTCTCTTCCCTAGTCATTCACAATATTCCAGGGGGCCAGCCCTCCTGGTATGTGCCTGTCAATGTCACAGACCCTCCTCTAGGAGCAAGTGCCAGCTCCAGGTTCACTGTATATTAGGCGAAGACTGGGGAGCTGTGCCAGTCAGAATAGACGAGAAATCCAGAGAAGGTGCTGTCTGTCTTGATGCTGGCATAGATGCCAATGTAATCACCCACACCCACCTGCACCCACACCTGGTCCTCCGGCTCCAGCCTTACCATAGCACCCCCCGAGAGCGAGGCTGGCTTGGGCCACCCCCCGAAAAACTGGAAGAAAGAGGCGATGGACTCGCCATTTTTGACAAGATCGAACTGCAAGCTGGCTCGGTAGACGGTCGCGTGGACGGCGAAATAATAGACACCAGGCACTTGGCAGGTGAACTTGCCGGTAGTGGCGTCGTAATGTCCCTGCTCATTTAGCAGCACGCGGTCGAAGGGTAGGGGTGCGTCGGCTGGCGGAGGCACTCGACTCTCGGAGCGCTTGTCACTGAAGGCTGATCGCGGGGGCACCGAGCACTCCCCAGCAGGTCCGATAGCCCCCACGGGACCTGCCTCTCCACGAGGCCCGGGCTCCCCTCGCGGCCCAGGCAGTCCTGGGGGTGGGGGTGGGTCGAAGGGGAGAAATTAGGAGTCACAGTGGAGCGCAGAAGGGTGACTCTGTTGACCATTCCTAAGTCTCCCAGCCTCCCTGGCAGTTGCGGGGAACAGATCTGAAGTGCTGAGCAGAGGGATCTAGGCTTTCTGACTCCCTGGGGCTGACTCACCCCTCCACCCACAGCCCACCTCGCCCCACCCCAGCCGACTGGAATGGAGGGGGAGTAGCGCCCCCTGGCGGGACCCTTGAACCCCAAAGGATTCATGAGAACAGCTGCGGCGCTCACTAGGATGTCCCCACGGACTACGATGAAGCTGACTTCTTACCCGGCCTCCCGCCCTCGCCTTTCTCGCCCGGAGCTCCGGGCGCACCGTCGCGGCCGTCACGACCGTCGCGGCCAGGCAGGCCTTGGCTGCCATGGTGGCCTGGTGTGCCTGGAAGGCCGGGCTGCCCGGGACACATGCTGGGGATCTTGTTGTCATCCAGTGGAGGAGAGCCTGACACCAACCCCAGAAACAGCAGGGCAAGAAGTGGCCTCATGGTGGTGACCTCGGAGGCCCAGACGCCAGGATCCTCTTGTAGTCTGTGGGCTGGGCAGGACCAGAGTCGGAACCCAGAATCTCGGGACCCACCTCGCGCCCCACCCAGGTGGAAGCCAGCAGGTCCCCGCTTCACAAACATGCCTTTGGGGCTGAGTGCAGTGTGACGGGATGAAGAGGAGGGTGCCCCAGACCGAGAATTGGGAGAGCACAGGAAAGGAAAGACAAGCCCTCCTAACCCAACCCCTAGCTGGCGCCCAGGCTGTCCCACAGTCCCCTCCCCCACCCATACTCCTCCTCTGCCAGACTCACCCCTCCCCTCTCCCCAGCTCCCCCTGCTGCTCTCTCTGAAGGACTTGCTCAGACCCTCCACCTGGCCCTGCTCCCACTCCTACCCCAACCAGGCAGCCCCTGCCCTTGCTGACTGATCCCAGCTTCTGTTGCTCCTTGCCGGCTCCACAGCGCTCCTCCCAAACTCCTAGAGGAAACCAGTTGTTCAGGGGCCAAGAGCTCCGGGGCTGGGAAATAGCAGGGAAATAACTCGTGGTGTCGCCCGGCGGCTGGCCAAAGTTGTGGGGGTGTAGGGGGTGTGGAGAAAGGAGGAGGAGGAGAGAGAGACTTGAGCCTGCTTCCCACAGAGGCTGAACTGTCAGACAGATACTTGTGGCTCCAGTTCCCAGGAGCTGGTGGGAGGCAGGGAGGGAGGGAGGGAGGGAGGGATGGAACAGTGACAGGGGACCAAGGTCAAGACTAGTGTGTGTGGGTGGGGTGGAGGCGGGTGGAGACCTAGATCAGGAGAGCTCAGGGGACCCCCCCCCAGGCGGAGAATAGGGTCCCACCACACCAGTAGACTCTCAATATAGCTTTGTTGACAGATGGGAAAGCTGAAGTCTGGTGATGGTGATTTTAAACACTCAGACGGGAAGGGGGAAGGTAGAAGATAGGGAACCAGGGTCAGAGACTTGGATAAGAAATCTCTAGGTTCTCTAGGCTGTAAGGCTGTCTTGGCAAACAAGAGCGCAGGGATGGTACAGGGAAGATTGGGTGGCCCCATTTGCCCTGGGCAGGATCAGGTCCCACTCTCTGGGAAGCACCAAGAGAAGATGGGAGGAGTCCCATGCCCAGGTCACTCTTCCCTTTGTTTTCTGCCTGCCCTGTCCACCCACATAAGTAGAGGAGGATGGGCAGACAGAGGGTAGGGGCTGGCTTCAGGTCAGGGCTGGGAGCAAGCTTCCAGGCTAGCGGCCTCAGGCAGCCGGTTGCAGTTGAAGGGCCAGGGGGTGCCCAGTAGTGCCAGGCTAGACTGGCACTGTTGTTCTGCCTCCTGGCAGACAGAGCGGCAAGGGGGTAGGATAGTGCCTAGTGGGGTGCAGTGAGGTACAAGCAGTCTGCAAAGGAACCTCCGGAAGTTCTGATAGCAGGGTAGAGTTGTCAGACTCTGTGGGAGGGAGAGACAGACCTCAGATGTCCAGTTCCCATGCGCCCACCCCTCCCTGCATCCTCCTGCCTCTGTGTCTCAGCACCTTGTAGTCTCTGAGGATGTCTGCCACCTCCGCCTGGGTGGCCAGGCCCACCCAGATGTTGGGGAAAGCTGTGGTGTTGTAGCTTAGTCCGAGACACATCTCCACTTGGACAGGTTCACAGGTCAGGTCTGTAAGGGGGAGGGTGGATCACCATGGGGAACAAGACACTACCTGGCCCTGGGGCCTTGTTTCCACATGGGTCACGGGGACTTTTCAGAACCGTTTCACAGGCTTCAGCAAGCCCTTCTGTTTGCCAGAGCATGCATTGGCCAGCCTCTGCATCATTTAGGCCCATCTGATCTTAGGAAATGTGGAGCACCCTCTGGGGACTACTTGGGAGCACTTCTATCATGTGATCTGTGAAGCAGGCTGTGGAGAGGGACTCTGAGTGACAAAGTAGACAAGTCTCGATACCCCTACCACTGACCCCCACCTTCCCGTGTCCCTCTCAGGTGACATTAGTGTCCAATGCCGTCCCTGGCTGAGAGTCCCAGGGTGAGGAGAGGGGGGCCCAGGCACGAACTTCCCAAGAGGGAAGGAAAGGGAGGTGAGAAAATGTAGCAGGAACCCAGCCTGTTGTGGCCAGCAGGACTTGCTCAGGGTAAAGGCTCCCTACCTGGTTGTGGGAACAGACGGCTGCTGCAATTGTCATTGCTGTTGTCTTCACAGTCTCTCCTCAGGTCACACATCCATTGCAGTTCCCCACACCCTCCGTCCTGGCAGAACTCTCTGGGCCCACAAGGGTCTGCGGGCACAGAGGCATGACAGTGCCCTAGGACATGCCTGTACCCACGGCCCTCCACGGTACCCTTTGATGTTCCATGGAGGAGCCTCTGTTGCCCACACCCCCATGCCCAGGGGCACCTACTCTCTGTAGTATTGATGGCCTGGTAGGTGGCTAAGAAGCCTCCGCTGCTGATACCAAGATCGGTCTTAAAGATTACAGCCAGCTGGTGCCTCGAGGAGACGAGGTGGGGTGGCAGCTCTGTGCCACAGAACCTGCCCAGAGCAGAAAAATAGCCTGGCACAGGCCCCTGGCCAGCCCTGGGGGCTCTTGGCCATGCCAGGGATGATAGCGAACAAGATTGCTGATTCATGGAGCTTAGGGAAGGAGACACACGCTGTCACAGAAAGTAGGAAATGGCTTCTTAGACTTGGGGAGAGTCAGGGTCAGGGAAGAGAAGATGGCAGAAGGCAAAGGCCCTACAGGTGGAAAGAATAGGGCTGGGCAGCTGCGGAAGCCAAGGCCTGGTCAGGAAAGCACATGCTGTTTCCGGGGGACCGGTAAAGAGCTGGGAGTTTATAGAGCAGCCGAAGACAGTGAAGCCTAGTGTTGGGAGCCCAGGCTGCCAGAGGGGGGATGGGGCGCCCTGATTGGTACCTGCCCAGGAAGCTGAAGGCCCTGGAACTGCTAGCCTCGTACACTTCCACGTAGTCAAACTTGCACTCAGCTTGCTCTTCCAGGCTGAAGTTGTGGAACTGTAGTCCTATGCCGTATCCCACGGGCACTGAGATGTACCAGGTGCAGAGCTGGGGGAAATAATTCACGAGGACCCTCTCCGGTCTCAGCCCTGTCTTGCAGGGGGCACTCTATGCCCACAGTTGACTAGGCAGGGTGTTGCCTACCTACATCATCGGTGCATCTTAAATAGGAATGGTCAGTCAGACATGGTGACTTACACCTATAATTCCAGTGCTTGGGAGCAGGGTTCAAAGTCAGCCCAAACTTATATCAAGTTCCAAAGAAGCCTCCCGAGCTATCTACAGAGGCGGTCTCAAAAAGCCAAGGACCAGGGATATAGTAGCTCAGTGGTAAAGGACTTATCTGTCATGCACACGATCCTGGGGTTGTTCCTCAGCATGGAAAAACAAAAACAAACACAAAACAACCCAGCAGGTGTGGGGTGGGGGGCGAAGGCATGGAGCCGCAAGCCTTTCTTCCCAGGCAGTGGGTCCCAGGCCAGCCAGGGTTACATAGTAAGACCCTGTCTCAAAACAAACCAAAGCCCATGCCTGGCATGGTGGCTCATATCTACAATCCAAGCACTTGGTAAGCTGGGGCAGGAGGATTCTCACCAGTTACAAGATCAGCATGGGCTACAGAGGGAGACCTTGTCTATAAATATATAAATGCCCTTTCAATTGTCGGAGGTAAAGGTGTTTACCCAGCATAGAAATATCTGGGTTGGGAGGCTGGGAGGAGGCGGGAATTTCTTTTTTTTTTCCTTTCAATAAAAAAAAAAAATCTGGGTATACCATTGGTACTGAATGTTTCCTTCTGGCCGGCATGAACTTATCTTACCCAGGCACACAAACCTAGGCACCCTGGTGTCTGTTTCCTGGGGCACTGTGTTTACCTGTTGTTGAGGGTAGTGCTGTGGGTAGTTGGGGGTAGAGAACACCCCGTGGAGCCCAGTCAGATTTCCTCCACACCCTGGAGAGAGTCAAATGGCCATGAATAGTCAGGCAAGAAAATTCTGGGTCAGAGCAGGGGAGCCCAGCCTCAGATAGAAGCCTGAAGATGTGGCTGCCCCGTCCCTAGCTGGGCCCGTACCCGAGGTCTTGGCACTGCAGTTGGCCTCGTCACTACCGTCGGCACAGTTGGTAACACCATCACATACTAAGTCGTGCGTCAGACAGAGGAGCAGGTCACAGCGGAACTCATTGTGGGCACAGCTCCCTGGAGAAGGGCATGAATCATCTGGAGTCAGACTCCCCCAGAGTTTCCATCTCCTTTGCTGTGTCTGGAGTAGCTGAAGGGGTGGCATCTGGGGACATGATGGGAAGTCACTCACAATGTCCCGGGGCCACAGCTTGGTACCAGGCCTGGAAACCAGACCCTTCCACATCAGCATCAGAAACGAAGGACACACGGAGGTGGCTGGTATTGGTGTTTAGTGTGGCTGGAGGCGTTTTACCACATACCCTGTCAAAGAGCCAGGTTGGGGGTGATGGAGGCTCTGGACTCTGGCAAGAAATGAACGGACCAGAGCCCAGAGGTGGTGGCGGGTGCCTTTAATCCCAGCATTTGGGAGGCAGAGGCAGGCAAATCCCAGTGAGTTCAAGGGCAGCCTGGTCTACAAAGTGAGTTCCAGGACAGCCAGAACTGTTGCACAAGAAAACCTTGCCTTGAAACTGCCCTCACCCCCACAAAAGAAAGAAATGGATCAGAGAGGGAGGTGACCTTCCCTAGACCACACAGCAACAAGGTGCTGGCAGGGGAGGAGTCAGAGGTTAGTTCTGTTAATTTCCTTCTTGTCAAGATTTTTTTGCTTCCACTCCCAGTTTCTCCACTTTCAGATAAGTGGGATCCCCTGGACGCAGAGGGACCCACCTGAAGAGAGGGCCTGAAGGCTCTGGGGTAATTTCCAAGCGATCAAAAAGACAGGCAAGCACACCTTCTATGCTGAGTGCTTGAATCTTGAGCTGTATTGTCTGGCCTGTGGCTACCTGGATATGCCAGACACAGTGACTTTGGGGTGGGTAAAGGTCTGGGTAGTTGGGGCTGCTGAAGAAACCCTGTGGACCAGGAAGGAGGCCTCCGCAGGCTGCAGGGGGTGGAGGTTAGAGTTCAGAGGTCAATAGAAGAGAGGTCTTTCCTCCTCACTCCCAAGGTTCCTCTTCCAGGCTTTTCCTCCCCACTACCACCTAGGGCATTCTCCACAGGGCACCCTTAGAACTCACTGGTCTGGTGTGTAGGGCTCACGGCTGCTTCCTGATGCCCCGCGGTTGCTGGAGAGATGGTGGTGGTGCCGGTGTTAGGACTGGTACTAGGAATGCTACCCTTGGGGGCGAGGCCTTGGGTGGGCAGTGGGCTCTCAGTTGTCCTAGGGAGGGATGTAGTCTCCAACTCTGGGGGCAGGAGGATGGAGGAGTGTCATTTAGAGGAACAGGTCCCTGCGAATAGTTCACTGACTCTCCATGTAAAGTCCTCCCAAGCACTCACGGGTCAGGATGACAGTCACCAGCAGCCCCAGCAGCAGGAGCAGCAGGCCACTGAGCAGCAGGATACAGAGGCAGGAGAAGTGGCAGTCTGGTTGTAGCCCTCGGAGAGGCTGGGCTGCAGGGAAGACACAGCGGGCTTTTTAGAGGCACCCCTGCCCAGAATGACCCTCGCACCTTAGTTCCTGGACTCTCTCCTGTTCCTGGGCAACCCCTGAGATGGTTACCACGCCAGGGAGCTTTGAGGCTGCTGCTGGCATCTTTCTGTAAGGCTGGTGGAGGGCAAGAAGGCCCTGCTTCAGGGTCGAAAACAGGATTGCAGAACTCTGTCTGGAATGGGAGATAGAGGCTTCTGGGCTGAGGCAGGCAGGTTCACCGGGGACCGGGATCTTGGGAGGCGGTTCCATGTGGGCCTTACCTTGCTCAGCTCAGTTGTCTCTGGATAGAGGATGACATCAGAAAAGTCCTTCATGGCTCAAGATTCTGCATGGCTTTTTGGAGATTCTGTGATAGCCCAAGACCCCTGAGGGTCCACTCCGAGGTCACAAGCCACCTATCAAAGACCCAACCTTTACTCTCGAAGGAACAAGGCTGTGAGGAGAGACCAGTTCTCTGCCTGCCTTCGGCAGAATGGCTGGGGCTCCAGGCTACTCTGTTTCCATGTGGGGGAGGGAAGTGAAGCGAGAAGGAATTCACAGAAGGCACGGAATGGTCCTTAATCCAACTCAGCTGAGGATGCTGAGGTCAAGACCCTGGCACCGAGCAACAGTCCTTAAAGGCACAGGCTGTGGCCATGAGCACCAACAGAGAAGGAGGTGTTCTGTGGGGTGTGACTAGGTCAGTCACCACGCCCCCACCCCAAGGTATCCAGCTGGGGAGCTGGAGGTCGGAGAGCATTAGAGCCTCAGGTGAAGAGAGACAGAGACAGAGCGAGTGCTGGGGTAGAGGTGGGCAGTCTTCTAAGGGTCACAGGCAAAGCCAGCGGCTCACTGCTTTGCCCCATCAGAGTGGCAAAGTTACTGACTAACTCTGGACCTTTGGAAGAAGACACTCCTCCACCCTGGCTTTTTGTTTTTGTTTTCAAGACAGGGTTTCTCTTTATAGTCCTGGCTGTCCTGGAACTCTCCCTGTAGACTAGGCTGGCTTCAAACTCACAGAGATCTGCCTGCCTCTGCCTCTCCCTACTACCCTGAGGGCTGGAACTAAAGGCCACCACTTGGCTGGCTTTTTTTTTTTTTAAAGGTGGTCTCATATTGCCTGGGTTGGCTTCAAACTATATAAGCAAGAATGACTGTATGTTGAAGTAGGAGCGGCGGGGCTGCGTCCCCGGCACCCGGCCGCCCACCCGCATGGCTAGCTCATGTCCAGAAATAATTACACGGAAACTGTATTTTTTCAAATACTGCCTGGCCCGGCTAGTTCCAGCTTCTTATTGGCTAGCTCTTACATATTGTTCTAACCCATTTCTAATATTCTGTGTAGCCCACGAGCTGGCTTACCAGGGAGGATCTTAACCTGCGTCTGTCTGGAGCGGGAGAATCATGGCGACTCCTCGACTCAGCTTCTTTTTCCCAGCATTCTCTTCTGTCTACTCCGCCTACCTAATTTTCTGTCCTATGAGGGCCGAGGCAGTTTCTTTATTATTACAAGACCCACCTCCATCATTTCCCCTTTTTCTGTTTAAACAAAAAAAGAAAGGCTTTAACTTTAACATAGTAAAATTACATATAACAAAACAGTTATCAAGTAAGAATTACAGTTATAATATTTATATCTATTTTATCTTTTATCATAATTAAGGAAAACTATAACTATTTATTCTTCAATTCCATCAAAGACTCCAGAAGGATATAATATTACCTATCAAACAAGAAATAAGAAAACTCTAGAAATGACAGAGACATCTCGCTGCCTGGACAGTCACCCAAAGTTCCTCTGTACCGATGGGGCATCCATCTTTGGCCAACAGGCCCATAGTATCCAGAGACATTTCCATGAAGCAGGAAATTTCAAAGACAGTTCAGTCATTTTCTGCTGTGTCCTGCAGAATGTCTCACAGACTCTTTCATGAATCAGGAACCCCAAAAGACCATCTCACCTTTAGGCAAGTTCAGCAGTCCTCTTTCTGCGGGTCCTCTGTGTCCAGTTTATGCAACAGTCTAGGCAAGAACAGTTTCTTGCCCAAATGGCTATCAAACTCCATAAGGATCCTCTTCAATGCCCATCTTCCTCTCGAAGTAGCTTGGTGTTGCCAGGAGCAGACGTGTCTCATTGTCATGAAAAGCCCTAAGTTATTAAAACATTTAAAATGCCATATTCTGCAGTCTTTGAAAGATATGAAGAATACCTATCTAACTGAAATATATCTCTATATATCTAGAAAATCTAACATGACTACAAGCTTTACTATTATCAATGATTATCCATTAACAACCTATATTTCCTAATTATACATTACATTTTTAAATGAACTACAAAATCACAATACCTTAATCAAGATCAAAAATACATATACATATAACAAAATTGACCGTAAAATCCATACCAATGCAAATTATTTATATCTATATCATATCCCCCTTTAAATGTAAAAGAACATTTATAAACAATATTTGGGAACATGGGCGTAGTTTTTTCTCTCCAAACTGCTTTCTGTTGAATAGGGGCGTCGTTAATTAGGTCGTTCATGATATAACCTGTGTGCTAGTTTTATCTCAGTTGGCAATTGAGCGAAGCAATTTTTTGAGGGTATTTACAGCAACCTTTCAGGAGGGCGTGGTCTATCATACCAAATCAGGTTGGGGACAACATCGACACCAGATGCATGAAGACCACCAGAAAATCACCTCCAAGGGCTCGAGGGCAGCCCATGTAGCCCGTTGAGGAGGCTGCTTTCTCAGCCACGGCATCCTCTTTTCTTGGCAACCTTTTTTTTTTTGAGACATGATCTTTTTTTCCTCCCAAGGTTTATTTTTATGACTTTGTGTGTGTATGCCTGTACCACATGTGTGCAGATGCCTATGGAGCCCAAGGATGAGTCTCTCCTTCTACCATGTGGATTCCGTGGATTGAATTCAAGTTGCCAGTCTTTGGCTGCAAGGGCCTTTACTTGCTGAGCTACCTTACCACCCCAGTTCTAACAAAAGACTGTGTTATCATCTAATAATGTGTAATTATATACTAATATTATCTAATAGAAGACGAGTGTGTCTGCACACACACACACACACAGGTGTGAGCTTGGAGGTCACGGATCAACTTTCAGGAACCAACTCTCTCCATTGTGGGGATCGAACTCAGGTCTGCAGGCTTGTATAATGAGTGCTTTTAGGCACTCTCTGGGTAGCTCTCTGACTATAAGTGGCTTCCTGTCAGGTATTTGGTCATAGCAACAAGAAAAAGATTACCCCCCCCCCCAATCGAGTACCTACTGTGTGCCACATTTTTTTTTCTAAACAGTCTCATAGCTCTGAGTTGGTATGATCATAATCAGTTTATAGATGAAGAAACTGGCTCAGGGAGGTTAAATCATCATGAGCTGTGGTTGCCAGCCACTTCCTCCTGCCCTTTGCAACCCACACAGGTGGTTGTTTGTGCCCGTGAGCGTCGAAGGGTAGGGATCCTTGGACGTGCCCAGCTCCAACAGACCCTAGCGGGGCTCGGCTAGCTCACGCTGGCTTTGCCACTGGGCACGTGTGCACGGTACGTGGCTGGTCGGTTCACTTCCTACTAAAGGAGGAAAATTCTGCTGTGAGGTCTGCCCAAGGCTGTCACCGATTCAACCAAAAGGCTAGGTGAGCACCATCTTCCTTCTGCCGGGTCTTTGACTGGTCTCGTTGAGCTCTCTGTACCCTGTCAAAATGACAGGTGGCCCCTAAGTTCCCAACCCTAAAGATCCATAAAATATCAAAATGAGCAATCAAAACTGAACCCTGAGGCTGGAGTGGGGGCTAATGTGAACAGGTCTGTCCCTGCGCTTCCTTGTTATCCATTTCGGTATGGGCCCTTATGGCAGAGCCTTGAATTTGATCCCAGAAACTGACTTGGCAGGAGAACTGATTCTCGAAAGTTCCATACAGATGCCACTGTGTGTACACGCTGTCCTCCTTCAATAGGTAAATGTAAAACAAACAAACAACCTGTAAAGTGGGCTAGGAACCCTTGGGTGTGTTAAGTCCCTATTCAAGTGTATATTTGGAGGAAAAGTGAGTTAGTATGAAAATTCCTGAGCCAATGAGGCTGGAGGCCTACAAAGTGTGTGTGTGTGTGTGTGTGTGTGTGTGTGTGTGTGTGTAGGAGGATCTTGTTCAAGGTCACAAAAGCAACTGCAGAGGTAGCACCTCCTCCCAGCCAGGGCCTGCAGGAGAAAAGGGCGAAATAATCCAAGTTGCTAGGAGGCGAAGCAGACCGCAAAGAAATGCACCGACAGACCTGCTTGTGTTTGGGGTTTGGTGCAGTCCTAGGGACCGTTGCCATGGGGATGAGATGGCACCACAGGCTAAGCGGAGAAAGGAGAGCTGGGAGCAAGGGCAAGGGCTGGACTTGAGTCCCCACTTTGTTACCGGCTGTGCTCTGGGAAAGAGAAGGCACAGGGCGGCTTCTACCACCCCTGAAAAACCAGGCACCATCACTTGGCTGCGAGCCACTTTCTGTTTAGAAGAAGACATTTTTTGCCTGTGGCTGACTGGGAGAAGCCATCAGCTTTTAGACATCTCATCCTGGGTCCTGCCACTCCTGGGGTGGACAGGGAAGTCCAAGTCCCTCTGAGAGCAGCCACAAAGGTTTATTCAAATCTTTCTTATGTTGCTGGTGTGGTGTGGTGGTGGTGGTGGTGGTGGTGGTGTGTGTGTGTGTGTGTGTGTGTGTGTGTGTATGTAAAGCTCCAGCCTAGCATTTCAGAAGCCCTGGGGTCAGTTCCCATTATCAGCTGAAATGGGATGGTGAAGGCCCACGGGACTGTAATGGAATCTCAGCCCCTGTAGAAGTCGAAGCGGGAAGAGCAGATTTAGCTCATCCTAGGTCTTAGGCAGCTCAAGGGCCACTTGGACTATATGAGATCTTGTCTCAGAATAAAAGTTAAATCTTTCTTCCCCACTGTTGTGAAATCCCCAGATTAAAAAGCTGTTTTTCGAGCTGGAACTGGTGGGCCATGCCTTTATTCCCATTCTTCCCAGCATTCAGGAGGTAGAGGCAGGTGGATCTTTGTGAGTTCAAGGCCAGCCTGGTTTACAGAGCGAGTTTCATTATAGCCAGGGCCACACAGAGAAACCCTGTCTGGGAAACCAAAACCAAACCCAAACCCAAACCCAAACCAACGGACCAATCAACTAACCAACCAACCAACCAAATAAGCTGTCTTCCTTCGTGAAGTGGGGCACACTAGCAGAGGCCCCAGGTGACAGCAGCTGCTTGTGCCACAGCAAGGATGGACTTGCCATATATGGAGTTGCCATATATCTGGGGATGACTTTAGACTTCTGATTCTCGCACCCCTCTCCCTGCTCCTCCAAGTGCTGGTGTTCCAGGCTTGTGCCGCTACGCCTGGCTCTCAAATTTTGATGGAATTTCTTTAGGAAGTGGGAGTGTGACTCAATATACTTAG